GGGGGTCGTCTTATACGCCCAGTCGTCTTATACGCCGGAAAATACGGTACTTTTTTTGAGAGGGAGGCTAATTTTTCTATTTAAAATAATAATAAAATAAGTCTGAAATACCGCACACTGGTTGACCTTCAGAACCCACAGCAAAGCCTGTCTTTTCCAGAGGGCATTTGAGGAGGGTTGAAGGCCTTTGGGCATGAGGCTTCCTTAAGGAATCTGAAGGTAGAGATCAGGACTGATGAGAGAGGAGAAAAGGAGGGACAGTTGTACCAGGGCCCTGAGCCCAGGGTCCCTCCCAAAACATCTGTAACTGGGTTGAAATGGGAGGGGATAGGGCCCCAGCAAACATGATGTTCCAGGGCCCCAAATTTCTTTCAACAGGCCTGGTAGAGACGCTTTGTATTGTTTTGTTGAGTGACTGTTTGGTATGGGGTAGGATCTGCTGCTGTTTTGTTTCGTGTAATAGTGTGGAGGTCACCCTAACATGCCCCTCTGTGGTCAGACATGGTGCTGCTGGTGAGCCCCTGCTCTAGTTTTCTCTCACCCTGGGTATAAACAAGTCCAAGCAGACTTTTCCAGTGCCCTCCTTGGAACGTCTACTTGATTTAACAAAACATAGCAGCGAAGTACAAACATAAACAAAAGCTTTAGTCGGCTCTGCCACCAGAACCTCTCTGCCCCTGGATTAATCAGTCTTACATCTTGCCCCTCTAGCCATAGAGCATTCCCAGGCTGAATCCTCTGCCGGGAGCTTGGGCCTCTGCTGAGTGTTTAGCTAGATGCCTATTCCCGCCCCAATACTGTGTTGCTCTTTGCTGAGCCAGTCTCAAGAGGTCCCACACCTAGATTGTTCTCCTGGTCCAGTCCCTTGCCTGGGAGTACTTTCCCTCTGGGCCTGTTTCGTGAACCTCTACTTTCTAAGGAAACACCACTGAGAGTAGCACTGTAACCAATTCTCCTGAGGAATTGCTCTCCCTAGAACAGGGGTGGGGAACCTATGGCCTGCGGACCGGATCTGGACCATTGGTTAATTTCATCCGGCCCAGCGCATGGGGCTGGAGCCGCAAGCACCAGTTCACCCCACCACAGGGGGAAGCCCTGAGTCTCCACGCCCCCTCCCCCGGGTGGGTGAGTGGCCCGCAATTGATTTTTTCTATGCGTCACTGGCTCGTGACAGAAAAAAAAATTCCCCACCCCTGACCTAGAAGCATCCTCTCTTTTGGGCTGAGTCCTCATAAGCCTTTATTAGGCTCAGATGCTTCTATCTTAATTGAGACTGCCACCCAGCTACTTAGGCAATTAACTATCCACAGATGGATCTGGCTTGACTCATTCTCCTTAGCAGAGCCTGTCACTGTAGGCTGGGTGCGGGGGCCAACTCCTGTGACATTTTGCCATTACTTTTATTGCTCTGGATTGTAATTTTAGTGGGTGCCAGGGCTCCAAGAGCTTGGGATAGGCAGCTTTTAAAGTGCTGAATTGAAATACATAAAGGAAATCAATTATTTCTCTCACAGACTCAAAGGCCAATAATGTGTGTATAAGCCTCAGACCTGGAAGGCTTAAAGGGAACAAGAGTTCTTTGCTCTCTGTATAGATGAAAGGAGAAAATCTAGCTGCTGGCAGGTTTAATTTACATGCATTATCATTTTGCTTCCTTGCAGTTCTGTACAGTGCTTTGTGCTGTATTATTAGGAGTTTAAAGTTTGCTTTAAGGAATGTTATTAAACTGTGATGGGGACTGCTCTACCCCTTGCATTATTCCTGGGTTTGCTAATTTCATGTGTGAGACAGCTGATTATCTTGTTTCCTCAATAAAAAGTGTTTGTGTTTCACATTCCAAAGTGCTTTGCCTGTGGGGAAGAAATACCTGTAAAGGTAGATGGTTTATTTCTAAAACAGGTGGAGGTTTGAGTCAAATATTTTATTTATTTTATACAAGGATCCCTAGATATCTTGTTGAACCAGGCTAATGAGCCCTGGCAGAAAGGTTACCTATGTAAAATGCATACTGACTCAAAATGAGAGGAGCACATTTTAAGGTGTTAGCCTAGAATGGATAGAGAGCTCGTAATCTGCCTCAGATGCTATTTCTCTTCAAATCCACCTTGATGTGTAATGTCTACAGCATGCAATAATAACTTTTTTTCTCCTTCTGCCAACAAGGAGTCTCAGCATTTTAACTTCCTTTTCCTCCTTCTAACTGAAGTTAAACAAAAACCCTTGTCAAGACTGAAAGGGAAAATATGATGTGATTTAAATTTTTTCCAGTCACTTGGTCGAATACAAATTATGACTAAATCACTGGTATTTATTTATTTAAAATGTTCATGCTGTCTCCCTAATAGACAAATCTGAAATAACGAGGCAGGGAGCAACCACATTATCAGTCTGGCTTTGGCCTTCTCTATTCTGCTGCAACTTGTCACAAAGATTTCCAACTGCCTTTCCCTAGCTAAGTCATGGGGCTTCCTCTTTGTACTCAGCCTCCTTGCTCTTTCTGTTGCTTTCAGTAATATTGATCGCTCCCTCTCCTCCTCCTCTTTTTCACCCTTGGCTTCCTTGGTTCTGTCTTATCTTGGTTCTCCTCCTACCTTTTAGTTTGTTCTGGTTTGCAGGGTTGGCTTCATTGTGTGTTCTTTTCTTTCTGATAAGGGATGCTAATATATGGCATCCCTCAAATTTCTCAGGCTGCTGTGTAATTGGATTCAGTGTACAACACTAATCATTGCTTGATTATTCTGACATGCTCAGTAAAGAAATATGGACATTAAAATCCTAATGTAATTACACTCTGGCCTCTGGCATGAATATATTTCACTCTGACTTCTCACTGACATTGAAAGCATTTAGAGGCCCCAGTGTTTATCTTATTTTGATATATATGTAATGGGCTTGAAGTAACTTTTTAAGGTGGAATTGTGTGCCTAGTGCTACTTACAGCCAAGGATTCTACTTCCTGCTTGATGACATACCATAACTGTCAGCTTTTTATTAGAGCTTCTTGCGTAGGGTTAGACATTTGACTTTCTCTGTGAAATAGGCTGCTAACACTGCTGAGCTGGCAGGTTAATGATGAGATTTCATTAATATTAAAGGCTAGTACCAAAACAAAACTCCCAGAGAGATGCCTGTCCACAGATTTAAAGAACCTGGGGTCACCAGCTGAGACAGCTGGTTCTCTATAGACTTCACTTGGAAAAAAAGAAAAGAAAACTATGATGAATAATAAGATGGTATTATAAACCAGAAGATCAATTTATTTTGCAGCATCTGAAAGCTAAAGATAGTGATTTAAAGCCTAAACAGTAAGCGCTCTGGTTTCTGAAGTAGATAAAGACGTACAGTAAATAGTAGTTGCTTTGCCCTCACCTTTACTTTGTGTTTTGAAATAATTTCAGAGCAATGTGAACAGTAAAGATGTGCACCAGGAGTGGGACTTAGCTTTAGGGGTCATCCCGACTCCCTCCTCATGACTGCAACCATCTTCCCTCACTCTCTGTGATGCGTTTCCTATTCTGTCAGTTTCTCTTATCTTTAAAAAGGCTGTGTTGCAAGACAGTGTAATAAACTGGCTTAATGCATGTGCTTATGTCTTCCTCTCCTGACAGAGCACTACACAGAACAAGAGCCCCCTGCTTAGGGTGTTCCTTCTCTTAGTTCAAGAGGTAGAAGCTTGTGCTTTGGGTGGTGAAGATCTGAAGTTCAATCATGGAGGATAACAGTGGTGGCCTTATGTGTAAGTAGATTCAGTTCATTACCATAGTCTATTTGTGAGAGCCAGTAAGCTAATCAACCCCAACATGCTTAGGAAACTTCTTCATTAGATGAACAATGTATTCTAGAGCACGTCCTTAAGAAAATCCTTTGGTTTAATATGCTATAACTGCCTGTCCTAAATCACACATGGAAAAACTCTTCAAGACAAAGTAAAAGTCAAGGATCTTAAATCTGATCACGGTAACAGAAATATAAATCTGAGATAATTCCATCGACTACTGCGGAGGTACTCTGAATTTACATCAGGGTATTTAAAACCAAAACATTATCAATGATCTAAAGAGTAATTTCTCTTTTTCAGTAACAGACATATTTCAGAACTGTGGGCCAGATCCTCAACAGGTGTAACTCGCCATAGTTTCCTTGACATCTGTGGAGTTATGCCAGTTTATACCAGCTAAATATCTGATCTAATGTCCCACATCCACCTAGAAGACTGAAATTAAATAACTAAGAAACATGTCTCTTCTGAAATATTCTGTCTAAATACAGTTCCATTTTTGTGCCATCTTCTGTTCCGAGAGGATAAAAAGGTAAGGTACAAGCTATTTTTAGGTGCAATGAAAGTCATTTTAAGTGAATTGATAGAAAAAGATCTAACTGAAGGAACAATAAAGTTAAAGGAAGTTACGGGTGTAGTGTTTTTATATAAACATTTCTCAGAGTTTGTTTAGATCGATGTTTCCCTAACTCTGATAGGCAGATCACTGATGATCTAGGGCAGTGGTTCTCAACCAGGCGTTCAGGCCCCCCTGGGGGGCCGCAGGCAGGTTTCAGGGGGTCCACCAAGCATGGCTGGCATTAGATTTGCTAGAGCCCAGAGCAGAAAGCCAAAGACAGGACTGCAGCCCAGGGTCCCAAGCCCCATCACCCAGGGCTGAAGCCGAAACCTGATCAACTTAGCTTTATGGTGCTGTCTGTGGCTTGGAGCTCCAGGCAATTGCCCTGCTTGCTACCCCCTAATGCTTGTCCTGTCTTTTATATGCAGAAAAATAGGTGTTGTGGCACAGGTGGGCCATGGAGTTTTTATAGCATGTGGTGGGGGGGGGAGGTCTCAGTAAGAAAAAGGTTGAGAACCCCTGCTCTAGGGAGCACTTGATGATGGCTTAGGGAGAGCTGGTTGGTCATATGGTGCTGACTGTTCTCCTTATTCCCAGCTAAGTTGCATTAAAAACAGAAAATACATATATCATTTCTTAATATGACTTTTCTATTTCAGTAAGTGCTGTAATTGCTACAGGAATGTTATGTGTTTGGGAATGGTCTGTGTTATCGCAAATAGAAAGGGGAGTGTGGTCTGCATGATCATAACTGTGAAGGTAAGTTATCCATGAGCAAATCTCTGTATTAAGATGTGGTCTGCATTATGAAAAAAGATTGAGAATACCTGGCTGAGATGCTTTGTAGTTAAATACAGCAAGTGCAGTGGGATGGGAGTGATTCTTAAGGGTAACAAGTACTGGATGCATCAAGAAAACAGTTCTATCTCGTTGTGTTTGCACTTCTGCAGCATACAGGAATGTATGTCAGTATTGTAACACTAGACTTGCAATGAGGAGAGCCACATACTGAGTAAGCATTGTGAATATTGGCCCGTGTATTAAATGCACCTATAATCATGTTGGCCTTCCACTTGGGTGACATATTCTAATTGGGTAATTTTGTAATATTTTGATTAAAATCTTGCTTATTTTTAACAGTGCTTCCTCAGTCATTGGAAAGATCATCAGACCTCTTTCAAACATTGCCACCAATGAAAAATTATTAGTCCACTCAGGGTACAGGAGTTACAGACAGTTGTTATGGAATTTGGAGACCTTTTCTTGTTTATCTGAAATTATTAAAACTTACCTTAAAATATTTTGATTATGGCTAGTAGATGAAATTTTTAGCATCAACCTCTGTCTGATCCTTCTCCCCTTACTCTCTACCTTCATTTCTTTCACTGTTTGGACTTACCGTCTTATCTTGTGCCTCTGTCTTGTACATGGTGTATTACCTTATAAAACATGCTTGCAGGTAGCTGAGCCAGGAATGCAGGACTGGGCTTATAATTATTTTAAAGCAATATTTCAGTAAATAAGTGACTATGGATCCAGCCCACACATGGGCATTGACTTCATTAGCTGAGTAAGGATGGCAGGATCAGAATTCATAATGAATTGCTAAACTATCCATCCCATTTGCGTGCCTAAATAACCAATTCTCCTAATTTCAATGTTCAGCAGATAAACACATAGCAGCTGCTTTCGCCCAACCAGCATGGGCAGTCTGGATTAGTCATCCAACAGAGAAAGTATCTTGATTTCACCTCTCCAAAATCCATCATTGAACTCAGGGAGGTTACGCCACTACTATTTGCACTTGCAAATCACAAATCTCTGGAGACCAAACTGCATGCCAACTATAGGAGGCATCAGGAAGATGGATGTTAATAAAATCTTCCAACTCTAACTAAAAGAAAGAAATAACATAGGAAGCTCTTAATATTATTTGTATTACAACTGCACTCGGGTCCCTGTTGTGATAAGTGCTCTACGTACACAAGAGACACTACTGCCCCAAACGGTTTACAGTCTCAATGGGCAAGACAGACAAGATATTATCTTCATTTTTCAGATAGGGAACTGAGGCACAGAGATTGTGACTTGCTCAGAGTTATGCAGAGAGTCTGTGGTAGAGCTGGGAATTGACTCCAGATCTCCTGAGTCCCAGACAAATCCGTCAACCACAAGACCCCAACCTTGACATTTTATAACATCTTTTTTTAATGATGTAATGTGAAAAATCCCAAGATAATGACTGGACAGCAGTGGCCTGCTTTTCAGAGGGGCTGAGTACCTGCAGCTCTCATCCAAGGCAAACGGATTCAGTATTTTTGGAAAATTAGGCCAGGATGTCAAGAAAAGAGCAGGCTGAGAGTCATGATCTATTTAATTCATGCTGTTTTTCACAGAACTGTATCTGAAGGGGGGGGGTCACACTTTTCCATTCTCAAGTTCAGCCTTTTCCTTTGTTGCATCAGCAAGTTTCACCACTTCTGAAACCGTACTCTCCTCTGGGTTATTTATAACCTCCTATTGCTTTTCAGCAAGTAGCATTTCACTTCATTGACTCCTCTCTACCTCAAACTCTTACATTTCACTGGCATACTGCTGATTTGCACCCTTAATCCTTTCACCAGCCAGCCTGTCTTTCTCCAGCACTAGGACCTACTAAAGTCAAAGGGGTCTCTTCATGCAATAAGAAATGAAGCATTTATTCTAGGCTGTAGCACTTCAGGAGTATGTGTAAATTAAGTGTGCAGAGTGTAAGAAACTCAATACATGTCTTTCACACTCTACAATAATGAGAGTTCTTCTGCAATCCTGATAAATTCTAGCCACCCCTTCTTTTTTTGTCCACCACTGCATCATATTTCTGACCTGTGCAGATTCAATTTAATAATTATATGGAACAGAATTTTTCTTAGTCATAGAGATTAGATTTTTCCCTCAATGTAAACTGCTAAACGTGTGTGTGTGTATTTATACCTGTGTGTCTGGCTGATTATGTGCATATGTCTCGGTGTAGTGTATATACATGCACAAATGCATTAAAATTGCAATCTTCCATCCCTAAAAAATAATCTGTAGCTATTCTAAAATCCCGGTGCATGGCTAAACAATGATGAAGGAAAAATAAGAGGTGTGGTTGTAGTGAGGCAATCTAGAACATAATGTAAGGTACAGCTAAGCATGTCTCTTCTGCCCTAAGGTTATCATCAAATTTTTAAGCATATGTTCCCTGCAATCAACGCTTCTGCCACAATGAAACCTATTTCCATATGGGAGAAATGTTGGCAATGAAAGATGACTCTTTAAATTGAAATGAACACTCTCCCTCTTGCAGAGTAATATTTATTTCTTTAAATGATGCATGGCTCCCATTAGCTGGGTACCAGCCTCACACTAATTAAAAATAAATACAAATGTAGTAAACATACTGTATGTTTGATCTACTCCATTTTTGTCTCTTATCCTTATCTTATGTAGTGTCTGTATAACTGTAATATCTAGAGCCCAATCAGATATGCCAGGAAGTGGATCAGAACTTCCATAAAGTTGGGGTGGGTGTTAGATTGAAGTTTTTGCTTCAGTTTCATTCTCTGCTGTTTCTGCAAATGATTTTACAGGGCTTTCCGCAAAGTCTGAGATCTAAATACAGAATCCAGCACATGGGGATGGGGATTTGTGATGTTTTCCAGTGGAGTTAGATGTTTTTTCATCTATGATCTATACTGTGTCGATATTTGAATGTAATCCAATTGTAATTTAGTGTAATTTACTAATATAAATTAGAAATAGTTTTCATTTTCAATAGCTGTTTCAGAACACCTTATGGGACAACCGAGGAGCACTATGTACAGTATGTACAGTATGAGATGACACAACTTAGCAGAAATACTTTATGAAACTGTGAGAAGAGACAGTAGCCCTTTGAGAACATGTGGCCTTCTTCTCAGAGAAGAGAAAGGCATTTCATGCTCTGGTTTGTCCTGAGAAGCAGGTCACATAAGCTGTGAGGTGTCTCTGCTGAAGAACCAACCTTGTACTATGTCTTTTACTTCTTTGAGAGACATAGAATTATAGAATCTTAGGACTGGAAGGGACTTCGAGAGGTCATCTAATCCAGTCCCCTGCACTCATGGCAGGACTAAGTATTATCAAGTGAAAAGTGCCTAAACAACCACATGTTCTAAAGTATGGCAGCATTGTGATGGGGTTCCCAGGGTGCAACCTGAACTGTGGAGCCACTGAGCCCTTCAAACCCATCAACTGGAGCCGTCCCTCTTACTGTGATGCTGATGTCAAGCTACAGACCTCTGGCAGGTACTGCACTTACATAGACAGCCACAGTCAGGGACATACCCAACTGTGTCACATGAATGATTTCCCAGCCACTCATGAACCATCAATAGGATGGCTCAGCCAATTCCCCCCAACTCCTCAGTCTTCTGCCCCAGAACTGTCTGTCTTACACGGCTCAAAGCCACTTGGGGCAGTGCACGTTCATTAAGTTCATCACTCCCTCAATGTGGGATGGACTGAACTGAGATTTCCCCAAGCACTTCGACCAAAACACACTGTTTTAGGTAAAATATAAAACAGGTTTATTAACTACAGAAAGATAGATTTTAAGTGATTATAAGTAGCAGTCATAGAGATCAAAGTTGGTTACTTAAGAAATAAAAATAATTTCGCAGTTTAAGTTTTACAAACTAAACAGGATTTGAATCAAGCGGTGTCTCACCCTGACAGGTGGCACAAGCAGGTTACAGATCCTCAATACACAGGCTGGTACTACTTTCCAGCCTGGGCCCATCCTTCCCCAGTTCAAAGTCTTTGTCCTCCAGATGTTCCTCCAGGTGTTGAGTTGAGGGGAAGGGGAAAAGAGGCCAAGTAATGATGTCACTCTCTCTCTTTTATATCAGGGGGTAGATGTGTTAGTCTGTATCCACAAAAACAACAAGGAGTCCGGTGGCACCTTAAAGACTAACAGATTTATTTGGGCATAAGCTTTCGTGGTAAAAAACCACTTCTTCAGATGCATGGAGTGAAAATTACAGATGCAGGCATTATAAAATGACACATGAAGAGAAGGAAGTTACCTCACAAGTGGAGAACCAGTGTTGACAGGGCCAATACGATCAGGGTGGATGTAGTCCATGTCCAATAATAGATGAGGAGGTGTCAATTCCAGGAGAGGCAAAACTGCTTTTGTAATGAGCCAGACACTCCCAGTCCCTATTTAAGCCCAAATTAATGGTGTTAAATTTGCAAATGAATTTTAGTTCTGCTGTTTCTCTTTGAAGTCTGTTTCTGAAGTTTTTTTGTTCAAGTATGGGGTGGAAATTGTTGAAATCCAGGTGGAATTCTTCAAGGGCCTCCTTCCCGTGGATCCGTATGATGAAGATGTCATCAATGTAGCGCAAGTAGAGGAGGGGCGCTAGGGGACAAGAGCTGAGGAAGCGTTGTTCTAAGTCAGCCATAAAAATGTTGGCATGCTGAGGGGCCATGCGGGTACCCATAGCAGTGCCACTGACTTGAAGGTATAAGTTGTCTCCAAATCTGAAATGGTTGTGGGTGAGGACAAAGTCACAAAGCTCAGCCACCACGTGTGCCATGGCCTCATCAGGGATATTGTTCTTGACAGCTTGTAGTCCATCCTCATGTGGAATATTGGTGTAAAGAGCTTCTACATCCCTGGTGGCCAGGATGGTGTTTTCAGGAAGATCACCAATGCATTGTAGTTTCCTCAGGAAGTCGGTGGTATCTCG